AGCCTTTCAGATAAGACTTTAAACACTGAGTTCTTGTCAGCCACACACAGACTTTTACGGAACCTAGATTTCATTATGGGAGACAGATGTTGCCCCAGAAATCTTGGCTAACATCTCCCTCCATCGTTGGTTACTGCCCTCACTCCAGACACAGCTGCATTTCAGGAGGACCAGATGGACTGTGCCTACTTTGTGGAGTGAGCAGTGTAAAAAATGAAATACTTTCATTAAAAGATTTGTTGGGGGATCAGCTTTGTGCTGATCTCAATCAGAAATCAGGCGAGTCTTGCTTTACAAATTCTTGATTAGCATCTCTCACTTATCCCACTTGGTCTCTAGTATTGATTGGCCGTTTTCCCCCCTTTGGTCAAGTGGGTCAGCATGGGGCACTCTACTCACTTGTCCTAATATTTGCCAAAGGGTATTCTTACTGGAAAAGGCACATTGCAGATAGAGAGAGCAGAGTCCCCTTTGCTTTCGGCTCAGTTCTCGTTTTCCATTTAGTGCTGAACAAACTTAGGATGTAGCCTAAAAAGAACGCAGGTAAAGAAGGCAGGTGGTGGGGGGCTCACAATGACGCCCTGAAATTAGGGACTATTAACTGAGGAGGAAAAGTTTAGCCATGACCCTGGTGTCACCCTCTTCTCCCTAGATCCAGCTGGAGAAAGGATTTTGCCTCCGAACAAGAGAGGTCAGTTACAAGGTGGCGGGTAGTTGCTCCATCAAGCTCTGCTTCAGAACCATTGACGTCAACTGATTTTGGATCAGACCCTTACTTCCACGGTAGTTGCAGCCCTATAATCTGACTTTATACACCAGGAAACACAGCCACCCTTTTCTCCATGTACCAGTGGGACAGCCACAAAAACATTCTCACACTGGGGAGGAAAAAGAGCTATTCCCTAGAGCTCCAATAGTCTACCCTGATCCTGTCTGGCTTCCTGAGTCAACCCTGGACCTCCCAGGCATCAGCCTATAGAACAATGGTTCTTAAACTTTTGAAGACCGAGAAACAGCAAACAATAATTGTTTTTTATGAGGAACGCCAAGAAAAAAAAAAAAAAAAGTCGCCTACCCCTTTAAGGGTGGCAATTTTGAATCCTGCTGTTCTCCGCGGCACACCGGTGTGCCATAGAACACGGTTTTAAGAAACCCTGCTCTACAATCTACTAGCAGATGGACCCACTGTTGTTCAGGTCTGTAACTGAAGTGATGGTTTTCTTTAAATAATGAAAAATGTCCATGTTTTAGTTCAATGACGGTCTTTTAAAAAATGAAGGAAAACGAAGGCTGGAGTGAGGGTTCAGGAGTAAGGAGAGACGGGGGGAGGGTGGCTAAGGGTAGAGGGCTGGAGGGGGACTCAAGGCAGAGGGTGAGGCCCCCAGGGCAGAGGGAAGGAAGTGGGGGTGCAGAAGTCCAGGCAGGTGGGAGGGGCAGGGCTCAGGGCAGGGAGGTGTGTGTTGGGGAGTGTCTTACCGGGGCCGCCCGTGGCACTGAGGGTGGTTCTGCTCCGGCGGCAGCTCCTCCCAGGGGGCCGTGGCAGTGTTCTCCGGCTAGTGGCTCCTCCCAAGGGCTGGGGCTGTGCTCCCTGGAGGGCGGCTCCTCCCAGGAGAGGGGAATCGGGGTCTGTGGGCTGGCCCCAGCCTCCAGCAGCCCCTCTGTGGCTTGCAGGCTGTGGCTGTGGGAGCTGATCTCCCTCCAGTGTCCCCCATAGGCTGCCAGCTTCTGGGAGCTGTCTCCTCCAGCTGCCTTCCTTCAGCAGCCTCCACATTGCCTGCAGGCTGTCTGGGGAGGAGCGAGGCTCCAGTGCCCACCCCTGGCCTCCAGTGCCCACCCCTACCCAGGCAGGGGCCAAGCTCTAGGTAGGACTACTCCCTGCTCTAGTTGGTCCCCCCCACATCCTGCAGGCTGTCTGAGGGGGCTAGGCCTCAGGGGCTGCCCCCTCCTCCAGCAGCCCCCCCCCACACTGCCTGCAGGCTCTCCACAGGCACGGGGGTCACTTTACTCCATCTGATGGCAGGCAAGATGGTGGAGTCCCAGCCCCACTGCCCACTTGGTGCTGCAGCTGTCCCCAGTGGCCACTCTCAGTATTGCCTCCCTCCTCTCTGCGCACCTTCCTTCTGCATCCCTCTCCTCTCTGCCCCCTTCTTTTCCATGCTATGGAAAATAGCCCCATTCCCGGTATGCCCTGTCTTTTAGGCACAGCCAAACCCTGCCCCTGGTTTAAGGTCAGAGGCAGCTGCATTCCAAACGGGGTCCTAACTCTTGTGGTTTAGGAGGAGCTCCTGAACAAGCGGACTCACAGCCACACTAAAATATCTGTATCTAGATTGTCCTTGGCCAACTGCAAAAGCTGACCAGTGCGGTGCTGGCATACTGCACCCAGACGGACAATCAAACCCCTAGGGCGCTGCAGAGGGGAGATCAAAGATGCTGTCCCAGCCCGCTGGGATCTAATTGTAGCATAGGTGCCCCAACACGCTCTGGGACCCCGCCCTGCTGCAAGGCCTCTCCCTTGTAAAGGCCTGTAAACTGTATGCGGCTAGACGAGGCTGTGGTGGGCATACTGGCCCCAGTGCTGGCACTAGGCAGGCTACGCAATTGCTTAGGGCCTCAAGCAATTCAAGGGGGCCTCTTCTTCACTTTTTATTGGGTGCTGTGCATGTGCGGGCAATGCATTCAGACTGGGGGCTGCCAATGGGATACCACTGCTGCTGCCATTCCTCCCCTCCCTGGAATTGCTGTCCATTTGCGATCCCACATCTGTTTCTCTGTTCCATGGTTAGACCCACCCTGGGCATGGGATCTCAACTGGCACAGTTCTTTGGGAAAATTCAGCTGAGTCATAAAGAATCCAGAGATGTCATGTGGTTTTATTTTCGCAGCAGTTTGGTACTGAATGTTCCTTCCTTCTTACTCCAGCGGGAACAGGGCATTAAGAAATACTGTTGCAATTAGCAGAAATTTAATAAGGGAAAATGCATGACCTAGGAAAGTGGTTTTATACAGCAACTGTTTGAAAAGCAACCGCGGAAAAGATTTTCTTTCAGTGCAGTTAATTGTTGTTATAGTGAAAACAGGAAAATAGTTTGGATGGAGAAAATAAAAGTCACGTGATTTGGGAAGGGTGGTGAGTAAGTTTTGCTTAGAAGGAGAAAGAAGGGGAGGGAAGTGGGATTTTAAAAAAAAATCACTGGATAAGACTAACCAAGTTTCTTCTGCCCTCTGCTGCTCATAAACAGGAATACAACAGTCCCCTTTAAAATCCAGTGAGCTCAAATCTCCCTTGTACAATCATTTGCACCAGTTTAAACTGGTATTGGTGCGAAACACCATCATTCAAGAGACCATATCTTCAGGACAAGCCTAGCAGCCCAATCTTAAAGAATCTGAAAGGTTTAATCATACCAAGACATAAGAATCAAGTTTCCATTTCCTGCTTGTGCAATAAGATATTCTTGTGCTTCGGAGCACTTTATTTCAGATACTAAGACTCTTGTCGTCCCCCCCTTCCCCCAAGTATGAGTGGTTCTCTAGAGTTACCATTTATACACTTCTGCAATGCCTATTCAACCAAACTGCAGCACAGCATCTGTCTGTAAATGCAGCCACTTTGCTCCACAGGCTCTGGTTGAAATCCTACTACAGGTTGGACCTTCCTGGTCCGGCACCCTCAGGACTGGAGAGGTCCAGGACAAGGGAATTTGCTGGACCAGGGGAGGCCAGGCCTCTCCTGGGGTGCCCCTCCTGGCTGCTGCCCCAGGAGAACCTGGAGGCCTGACCTCCCACGGCCCACCTGCCTGCCTCTGCTGCCCTCGGCCTCTGGCACTGTGCAGGGCAGCAGCTGCTCCTGGGGCAGGGAGACACCTGGCCCCGCGTGCGCGTGAAGCAGATGCTCCTGTGGCTCCCTGACCCCATCCCCCAGGGGGTGGCAGCCTCTCCTGGGGCTCTCTGCCTCCAGGTCACTGGCCCTGCGGGCTGCCACTTGCCAGACCAGCTCCGCTCCCAGCCCCTCAACCTCTGCGGCCAGGGCTCTTTGGTCTAGTAACCGCTGTGGCCCTGCCAGACCAGAGTCCCAGTCAGGAGAGGTTCAACCTGTAACGGTTGCTTTTCCAATGAGAACGGGAAGTTTTACCTGCAAGGAGAATGACGATTTATAGCACTTTTGTTAGCTCAGACATTGAGCATCTATCAACATTTCCAACTAGAAACAAACTTTGTTTTTTTCCAAACCAGTCGAAACAAGAGACTTCTCAGCCATTTGTCTAGGGTTTTACGCCTCAGCATCCAAATACCTTACTTATTCCTCAACAGCACCATCACATTCCACCTTTAAGGAAAGCCCAGCTTAAGAACCCTGCTCCAGCACAGCTGTGGAGAAATAACCTGCATTAGTCTTGGTTTTATACACTTGTGCCTGGTCTAGATGCCACCCTCCCTCCAACAGAGGAATTGCACCAAGGCACTGCTTGAAATGAAGTCAGCTCTTCCTTGGGATTTCCAACGGGATCCTGGTATCCGGGTCTAGGAAACTATCGCTCAGCTTGGCCCATAAAAAAAAACCCGAATGTTAAACATTAAATGTGCACAGACCCTTTACTGTTTTGCTGCAAGGATTTCTAATTAATATTTAGCCTTATCCTTCCACAAGCCAAAAAAAAGAGTTTCCCCTCATAGTTCTTTCCTCAAAAGAGGAAATATGGACTCATACAAAAAGGACAGCCATGCTTCAGTTTTTCCCAGAACTTTGCCTCAAGCAAGGAGAAATCGTTCCAAGTACAACTTTAGGATACAAATATTTTGTATTTAGTGCCACTGTCCCTTGCAGCTCACTCATTCCATTTCCACATCTAAGGCTGCACACACGAGGCTGAGCTGCAGACGCCAAACAATGGAGGAGAATGGGAAGGAAGCCACCGTGAAAAACATCAATGCTCCCTTTGTAGGGTCCATCTTCCCCACTGGTTTTCATTTTCAGGACAGAACAAATAGGACTTCAATTTGTGTTTGAGACAAGTTTATTTTCTAAAATAAATCCTTCCTGATATTTCTCACCTGGTCTTTTGAAGGCAATTTCTTCCTCCTTTCTATAGAAACACACTTGGTATTTCTTGACTCCCAGGGACAGCGAGGGAGTGGTTTGATACATACTCATTTATTCCCCTCGCTGATCTCCCTGTCAATCAGATTGCACTAAGATCAGCACCATGGAGGCTGACTGAACAGCTGACATGTACTCAGCGATTCAAGAACAGTTTCTCTTCCCCAACTCGTCATCCCTCCCCCACACTTTTATTGTTTTAAGGAAAAAAAAAGCATAGAATAGAAGAGAGATAAAGAAGATGTAAAAAATTATATATATTTATATATATATATATATACGATTCAAATCTATTTACAATGTGGCTGGGACAAACAGCAAAACATTTGAAGAGATTATACAAAACACGACTAGCTTCCTCCCCCAACCTTCACAGATTGCTTTGGAACCTGGATATAAGGCATGAGGAGATGGAGACTAAAGGATGAAGTTACACACTTACAAAGGAGTTCCCCATTCCCCTCTAAACCCTGTCTCTGTCATTCGGCTGAAACTGACATTTTATTGGCCAGTCACTATGAAAAGAAAAAAAATGGTTCTTTACACCCTCATGAATATGGATATTGAGCTGTAGGATGGGTCAAGCTTGGAGTTTTTACTTCTTCTCGGAGACTCTTAGGAATACCCTGCTTAGCAAGAGGCAACACCAGGTTTTTATTTAGAAGCAGCAGCAGCAAAGCATGATCAACTGAAACAGTCCCTTGTATGAATGACACGATCGTTTTTAGTCCCTAGAAGTAAGGCAGAGCAGAGAACGTATGTAGAAAAAGCTACATTAACTGTGGGGTTTCAAGTGTTACCTTTCATTGAGTGTTCTTGGCCTTGATATGCGATATAGTACCCTACAGAATGAACAGATTTAAACAGATTCCCTTCTTCCCACTCCCACCTTAAAAAAGCCCAAAGCAAAAAAAAACCCCAAACCAAATCTTTAAATTTTGGCTTTAAAAGATACGGGTTTGCTTCCAGCACAGCAAACTGCATGCGGAAATCTTAACGGTATCGTTCCGCTGAAGCACCTTTTAATCCAGCTCACTATTGCATCTCTGCTAAAATAGTCAAGATTATAAACGCACTTCGACCCTGTGTTCTAGGAGAAGTGCTGTATTTTCCGTACGACATGAAGACCGTATTTGACATGCATTATCAGTTGTGATCTTGCACTCCACAGGCTGCATCCATTGAATCAACATGGTTTTCAGGCCTGAAACAGACACAGGCATGAAAAACAAAACAAAACCCCCCAAAACAAGCTACTAAAGTGTTATGCCGCTAATGCAAGTTTGGTTTTATGCTTCTTTCCAATCCATCCTCCCAGGTGCTCAGTTTTTTTTTTTTTTAAACAGGCTGGTGATCGTCTATCTTGAAGTGCTCTACCTTCAAAGACAACATCCTCTTCCCCGTGCATCTTCATGGGTTTAAAAGCATCCTAATTATTGTCCCATTTTTCTGAACTACAAGATATGCTTGCTTTACACTCTTCCTAACCCTTTCCAGAGGGAAAAAAAAAACCTTTTTGGCAGCAATGGGCTGCAGTATTCGGTAATTTGGGCTATTTGTTAAGGCGCTAGCCAGGAATTTAGAATCCTAGATTTATTCATAGATTCCAAGGCCAGAAAAGATCATTGTGATCATCTACTCTGACCTCCTGTATAAAATATAGGCCACAGAATTTTCCCTCAAATAATTCCTAGACCAAATACTTTAGAAAAAACACCCATTCTCTTTTTAAGACAGGTCAATGCTGGAAAACCTACCATAACCCTTGGTAAACTGTTTTAATGGTTAATTACTCTCACCGGTAAAAATGGGCACCTTATTTCCAGTCTGAAACTGGGAAGAAATGGGTTCAATTCCTTGCTTGATCATAGGCTCCTTTGTGGCAAATCACTTAGGCTATGTTTAGATAGCAGGGCTATTTCAGGATACCAGAAGTATCCTGAAATAGCAATTCCATGTCTTTGAATGCGCCCGTTATTTCCAAATATATTTAGAAATAACAGATGTGCTATTCCAGCTTCCCTGTAACCCTCGTTCCATGAGGGTTAAGGGAAGGGGTTTGTCCAAATAGTGCTTTATTTTGAAATAACTCTAAATAAGCTACACGATTTGTGTTGCTTATTTCGAGGTAAGGGTGCTGTGTAGTCTCTCACACAGTTCACCATCTGAGAAAGGCGGAGTGTAGAACTGCCATGCCTCATAGAGATGTGGGGAGGATGCACACATGAAGGACTGTGAGGCGCTCAGCTACCACAGCGATCAGGGCCGTATGAGTTACTGAGACAGATAGCAATTTAGTCCCAGGTACAAGTGACTAAGAGAAATAGTTGATTTTAAAATGCTGACAATTAAGACCATTGGATTTGCAGTGAAGAAATTGCAGGTTAAAACCATGCTGGTGCCAGGAGATAAAGCTGAAAAGTGTCATCTCTCAAGAGGGCTTTACTCTAATTTTGCCAAAGCACATTGGTACCGGGCAGTATGAAATAGTTCCCAGTTAGCTCAGCCAAGCTGAACAGGTAAATCTTGACAATTCTTTAAAATTCTCACTCATTGTTTCGATTGTGGGTTCCACTGTTCGTTTAGCTCATGCATAATATGTACCCATGGGCCAACTGTTTGCTGATCATCCTACTCCTGCCCAATTCTCTCATCACCTTCTCTGCAGTCACAAAACTTCCCAGTCCCTTGAACCAAGTAGCCACCAGAGTCCCAGGGCCTACATTCCAGGTGTGCAGCTAAGCCATGAGCCAAGAGCAGGCCACTCCCTTTGGCGCAGTGTTCTGCTTTTATAAGCTTCCTCGTTCATGTGGCGAGGTGGCAAAGTTCAAACACTTCTGCTCGGACTCCTCTGATAGCTGAGGGATTTCAGCTGCATGCAAACTAAGGCAGCAAACGGGCTTTGGATGGAAAGATCCACTCAGCTGACTGATCACCAGCTATAAAAACGTGCATGCGCCCACCCCCCCACCCACACACACCTAGGACTATAAACACAGCTCATTCGCTTTCCTTTTGTTTGATTACTGTAAGTATTGAGTGACTACATCAATTTTGATCACCCCAGCCCTATAATACAGAGCAGTTCAGTTTGACCTCCTACCCCGAAAAACAAAAACAAAAAAACCCAACAAAACCCAAAATCATCAGAAGGGGCAGGTTTACCCTGCCAGCTTGCTGGTTACAAGGGACGACTTTCTCTGTGGAAGATCTTGCGGGGTTGGGATATGGTCTCCTGTCACCAGGTTCTTGTCAGGCCCAGTGCTTGGCAACTGCTTGTTCTTCATCTTTGCCTTGGCCATATTGTAGTCACCCGAGTCAAAATACTTTTGCTGTAAGAGGAACAGGGTTTTCCGTTACCTCGGCAGAGTCTCAAAACAACTGAAAACTTGTTGGAATATTGTGAACCCCACAAGACCTAACTGCAAATGCATTTTCTTGATTTAAGAAATAGCTTGTTCAGGGCCCACCATGGTGTCACTGAACGTGCAGACTCATTCGAGAAGCCCTGCTAAGCACTTGCAAGTTTTGTCAGCATAGCCATAAAATGACAGCTACCCCCGCCAAGCCCCCCTAGTACAGACAGTTCTACTAGCAACAGAGGGCTTTTGCTGGTCTAGATCATTCAGGTTCGGTGAGCGACATGAGCTCTCAGCAAAAGCACTTCTGTGTCGGTAGAAAAACACCCACGCTAGGGTTTTTGCTGGCACAGCGACGTAAACAAACCAGCAACTCTCACGCCCCTATCAGGCAGAGCTATGCTGGCAAGACCTGTGCCGAGCCGCAGCTTCAGCGAGCACGCTATCGTCTCTTTAAAGAAGCAGTTACAGGAGACTGAAGTCAGACAAGCAGGCTCCTTCTCCACAAGAAATCCACCACAACCCCATTTTCATTTACCCCATTCTGACAGCATAAAAGAGGCTTTAAAGTGAGTGTAAATCTACGGTCTGGCAGAGCACATAAAGGGGGATTTGGTGTAAATGAGAAACTGACTCCTGCTCCTTAAAGGCCTGATTTTGTGCTCTCACTGGTTTAAGTTAAAGGAGAATCAGACTCTAAATATCTACATTTAAAAATCCCCCCCTCCCCCCCAAAAAAAATGCTTTCATGCCAAGAAATTAAATAACCATTCTTTTTGTGCTTGCTGCAGGCGGTTGCCTGAAACAATATTCCCAGAGTTACACCAACAGCAAGAGATAACCCTGGCATACAAAAATGTGTTGGCAGGATGAAAGGCTATAAATAAAAGCTATAAAAGGAAAACAATGATGTTAATTCCAGTAGAGCAAAGCAGAGCCGGTGGGCAGAGGCTGTGTGTTCTAAATGGAGGGATGCGGGGGGGGCAGGGCGAAACACTTGCTTTTTTCAGCGTCTCAGAGGATACTGGTACAATCTGAAGGGGATAAGGGGCTCATATACTGTACAGACTGCTCTACAATGACCTTATAAAGTATTACAGCTATAAACAAGATGCCAAACTTTGCTTTATTGAATTTCAGTGAGGGCTTATACTAATTCGGATACATACGGGAGTCACAAGGCCGGAGACGCCTCTGCCTCAAACCTTGACGCCAGTACAGAGTGGGTGCAAAATGTTCCTATGCTGAGTTTGGTCGCACTTCTACACCCACTGTGCACAAGTATAAGTGACTTTTCCAAAGCGCATAGCAATGGAAAAAAAAAATCAAGCCCACAGTTTCTAATTTTGCATCCTTATTCTTTAAGAATTCCATCTGAACCACATGTGAGCTTTGGAACATCTGATCTGGCAGATGATTGAGGTCTATCCTGGGGGAGGCCAGATGGCACAATGAAGTCAGTACACTAGTTTCTAAGTATCAGAGTCCAAATTAGGGATGTGAAAGGTTAACCAGTAAGTATCACCCTTAATGGGAGATGCTTACCGGTTCCGGTTTGCTGGTGGGGGCTGGAGACGCTCCTCGTCCATCATGGGCAGGGGGCTGCTCCAGCCCCACGGGGCCTGCCACAGTGGGCCCAGGCACATCGCAGACAGGGGCTGCTCCAGCCAGCTGGGGGGAACAATGTGCACCCCCATTAACTGGGTGCTTTCATCAGGCCCTCCAGACTTGGTGCAAGCTTGCATGATCAACCGTCATATGCACAAAGTCGCTCAAGGGACAAGCAGACGCCTATGCATCGTGGGCAGCTAAAACAAAATGATACTTGTTCGTATATTAGGATGCTTTAAGTGATCTGGCCCATTGCATTTCATGCCTGCTGTATGCCCTGACCACCCCGATAGCAGAAACGTACTGAGTTTGAACGGCATTACACGGTCAAGTCACTACTCCAGTCTGGCCCAAAGATAGAAATACAAGCACTCTGTATCTCTCATTGAATACACTCTTTACTGCCCATGTCTGGACTAGTTTAAGTGTTACTGTCTAGATCGTGTACACTTTTTTTTGCACCAACTAGCAATGAGGACACTTAGCTTTCAAGGCAAGAACATTTGAATAGGTAAGTACCCCTTTCTGCAGTCTTTTCATTAGGAAGTCTGACCCTCCTGGCTTCTGTCCTAAATTAGGATATTTGGCCTTTAGTTTTGCTTCTTCTGTTCTCTCTGGGACGACTGCTTCCTTCTCCTGTGTATCCTGAAAAACAAGAATCGGATTAAAGCTATTCAACCCTATGAAAGAAGATCCCTTTATTGTAATCTCGGAAATCGAGTTATATAATGCTGGTCCTGTAACGACAAGTCTAATGTGCAATTGAGGTGTGGCCACTCAACGTATGTTTAAGCTTTCAAGGACGCGGTGAATTCAATTCTAAGCCCATAGTGGGATTGTCTCTCCCAGAAAGGCTGTGGGAGAGCAGGCCAATGAACGGGCCAGGTGATCGATACTGCCAGAGACAAGGACTTGTTGGTAAGTTAACTCTGGCAATCAGGTTTGGCAAGAAGGCATCAGTTTCACATCAACTCCCACCAGGTAAGTGTGGCACCATCTGTAAATCGAACCTTTCCACACGGCAGCAGCAGCTAATTGGTTGAGCCAACATGGGAGGTGGCTAGAAATTCAAACACGCTTTTATACTCAAGAGCAAGCAACATGCCAGAAATGCCTCCCCAGCGGGGTCACGGAGATCAAGTTCTGCAGCTTCAAGATGGAGTTAGGGGATGTTAATAAGCGTGGACTACTTGCTTCCCCCACCTTGCTGCCTCTATGAGAAGCAGTGGGAGAGGAGGGACATGAGCCAGTGCTGGGAGGGAGCGGGGAAGGAGAGCCAGCTTAAAAGCCAGTTCCCCCCAGTGCCATCTCTGAAATGCCGCCCTGCCCCTCACCTCTATCAGAGGCAATGGGAGGGGGGGGAATTAGGCGCAAGATAAGCGTGGACTACTTGCTTCCCCCACCTTGCTGCCTCTATGAGAAGCAGTGGGAGAGGAGGGACATGAGCCAGTGCTGGGAGGGAGCGGGGAAGGAGAGCCAGCTTAAAAGCCAGTTCCCCCCAGTGCCATCTCTGAAATGCCGCCCTGCCCCTCACCTCTATCAGAGGCAATGGGAGGGGGGGGAATTAGGCGCAAGGGACAGGGGCTGCTGCCGCCAAGCAGCCCGTTTGCGCTGACTCATGTTGACCACATGCAGGGGCTGGTCCCGGAAGCACGCCCCG